GTGCCCGATTAACACAGGCACTGAGGTTCCAGCTGCTTGGTTGCAACAGACCGATGCTAAGGACAAAAAGTTTTTCCGTGGTGGAGGCTCCAAGTCAGTTGCCAGTCGGCTCAGTCTTCCCGGCTGTAGTGCTCCGTCTGCATCAAGTCGGTCCGTGTTGAGTCTCCCGTCGTCCCGGCCTCCCAATAAGGCTTCCAAAAAGACCGGTTCTCAGGTGTCGTCCCGTCTCAACTTGCCTTCCAAGTCACCCTCTTGCAGGTCCATGCTGTCATTGCCTTCGGAACCTAAAAGTACGTCGTGTGCACGCAAAAGGCCAAGGTCGATCAGTCTCCGTCCTCCTCAGTCTGTCTCTCAGTCTGGCAAACGAGCAAAGGGGTCATCAGTTGCTTCTGGGTCCATTGACACAGCTGACCTGCATGAGTATGCTGAAATGCCGGAAGCAGTCCAGGCTGATTCCCCAAAATGTGAAAGAATTTTCTGGTGGAAATGCGATGTCCCAGGGTGCAGTTTTGAAGTTTGGCGATGCCCTGGTTTGCACCATCACACAGCACGGCGTTGGTACCACCTGCGCCACACACATGGGTTCAAAGTCAAGGACATTCCACCCGCACCAAGCTCTTCGGCAGCCAGTGAAAGTCATAAGGAACACAAAGAGCTCAAATGGCAGAAGCTTTTGTCGTTAATTAAGAATAAAGGGTGGCCTGGAATCCATTCTCACCCAGGCACACTCACTCCAAATGGGTCTGGTGTGCCATTCCAATGCACTGCTTGTAACAAAGTCTGTAAGTGGCCAGGAGTTGGCATCTGTTCTAAGGCGCGCAGATCCGTGAAACCAATCCCGTCCAAAAAGGACAGAGTTGCCACTTGGAATAGCTGGCTTAAGATCGCTATTGCCTTTGCTAAAGCAGCAGCGCTTAAACTCAGGAAAGCCCGCAAGCCAGCTGCCACCTTGGCTTACGCTCAAGCCAAGCAAAGGACTCGCAATTGGAGTGGGGCCTCAACTCAGCAGATCAGAAAGCTTCATTCAGGTCTCCCATGTGTCGCTGCTTCGGGTAGCGGTGATTGGTGGAAGTGTCAGTGGTGTGATTTTACGATTCCGCAGTCCAGTGCTAGCTCTTCCCGTAGCTCTAAAAGAAAAGATCATCTCCAAAAAATTCATGGTCTTTCTGAAGTGCCGCGTCTTCCCACTGGTGATCCGCTCACAAACCCGCACAGGTTGCTCCGTGCTCAAACCATGCATGATCGTAGATGGGAAATTCAACATGAGATTTTTCTGCAAAAGAAATGGAAAGGGGCTCATGAATTTGAAGCCCAACCGGTGCTGTTCAGGCCAAGCACCAACAAGCAGGGGAAAACAATTGTTTTGTTGTTTCATCAGTGCATCAACTGCCAACTCCTATTCACACGCAGCCAGATTCCGCGCAGAACATGTTATGCCTTCCACGGAAAGCCAGCTTCGTTAGCCGTTCGTAAAAAGGTTTGGCAAGCTTGTCGTGCTGAGGCCACAAAACGCCTCTCCAAGGAAAGTGACGGCGAGGCCGCCACCACTAGAGGTCTGAGAGCCCAAAGAATTGGGGAGGCTTCTCACCCAGGTCCGAGTCAGGCTGTCAGAATGTGGAGCCAAAACATCCGCTCCTGGCACACCAATGGTACAGCTTGCCTTGAGCGTGCACAAGAGGCCGGTGTTTCATTGATTGCTTTTCAAGAAATGAACCTTAGGTCCACAGCTGCACCTGCTGTCATTAACACTTGCTCGCGTAAGGGCTGGCAAATGATCCAAGTTTCCACACCGAACAACACTACTAACCGAGGGGGTGTCAGCATTTGCTGCCGAGAGCCTCTTGGTCTTGTCCCGCTTCAGCAATGGAGTTCTTCCCTGGGTCAGTTCATTTTGGTTGAAGTTCACGGAGCCAGTAAGCCCTTTAAACTTTTCAGCTATTATCGCCATGCTGATGATGATGATATGCAAGGTTTAAGTCAAATCACCCAGATCCTTTCTACCGACATGGATCAGGCTTGGGTCGTGGCTATGGACGCCAACATGAATCAATTGGAGGGTACCTGTTTTGATACCATGACAGAAATAGGGGGCTGCTGCAGAGCCCACGCTGGCCACAACTCCAGTAGGTTTCCTATTGACGGAATTTGGAGTTCACAAGACTTGCTCGCTGTCAATGCCTTCTCCGAACAACCAGGGGACGGTGATCATTCACTGGCGGAGGTACACTGGAACGTTCAGACACAGAAACCTGCAGGCCAACAGTTCAGGTTTGCCCACACCAGGAAACTGGCCGAGAACAATGAAAGCGGTCAGTTGGAAGCATGGGCAGTCAGTTGCACTTCTGAAAGCATGTGGGACCAGGCTCTCTGTGATTTGGACACGGCTTGGCAAGTTTGGTGTCGAGACATTGAAACTTGGCTTACTCGTAATGGTTTCTTGGAACAAGGTAGGCCCGAAAGACCTATAGGATCAGTTCCTCAAACCCAGACCAGCACGCATGCTGTAGCACCAGATCAGTCCATTAGTGAAAGACAGCTCCGCAGGTGGATCAGAAGACTCGTGGAAGCACACAGGTGCTGCACACAGGGCCGACAGATCAACGATGGGCTCCGGAAAAAGCTCCGCTCCACTAAACAGGTACCACCGCACGAGAAGCATGCGGTGCGTCAAGAAGCTTTTGGTTTAGCAGAAAGTTTGGCTAGGGAAAGGTTGAAGACACTGCTTCAGCATAAGTCTAGTCAAAAGTTGCAAGCTTGGCAAACAAAGGTTAGGTCACACAGCGGTGCCTGCAAATGGGTTAAGCTTACGGAAATTGGTTCACCTGTTTTAAAAGATGAAGTAGGGCAAATCCTCACTTCCCGGCCTAAAACTCTTGCTGCTCTTCATTCCTTTTGGAGTCGCACATTTGGAAACTCTGCCAACAGCATGTGGGCTCAGTTCACAGAGGTGTTTCAGGATCATTTCCCCACACCGGCTCCCATGGAGTCACTGCCCCCCATCACAGGCAGTGAGATTCTTAAGGTGGCCAAGAGAATGAAAGACAGGGCAGGAGGGCCTGACGGGCTCCTCCCACGTCACCTCACGTACTTGCCTGAACCTGCCTTGGATCGTCTTGCTCAAATTTTCACTCAGTGTGAAAACCTTGGAAAGTGGCCCACACAGGTCCGTCACTGGAAAGTATGTTTCTTATCTAAAGCAACTGCTCAACATGGTTCTGTAGCAGGACTTGGAGATGTCCGACCAATTAGCATTGGTCCTACTGCTTACCGCATTTGGGCCAGCATGCGACACCAACACTGTAAGGGGTTTCTTGAAGGTCTGTTGTGCCAAGATCAGGCAGGGTGTAACAATCTGGCGGTTCAGGACTTGCTCCTCACCATGGAAAATAAGTACCCGGCTCAGCAATGGCCATTTGCCATGGCCCTTGATTTGCAAAAGGCCTTTGACAGCACGGATTGGTCACTATGCTTAGGTCTTCTTAAACATGCAGGTCTTCATCCTAACATGTTAAACCTCCTTGAGGATCAATGGGGCAAACATGAACGTTGGCTCACATACAGGGGGGCGGTTGACCCTCATCCGCTGCGGCACACAGCGGGACTGCCACAGGGTGATCCGTGGGCTCCCACAGCCATGAGTGTTCTCATGGCAGTGGCCAGTCGTTTTGTCCTCAGTAGAGAACCCAGAAGCAGGTCACTTCTCTATCTCGACGACCGCACGCTGGTCGCTCAAAGTCGGGAAGCTCTGGAAAGTGCAATGCAGGCATGGGATGTTTTGTTTCAGAACACCAGGCTTCGTAATAACGTTTCCAAACAGCAGTTCTTACCACGCACCTTGGATGCCAGGGTTGAGTGTTTGTGCCATAACATTCCTTTTCAAAATACGGCCAAGATTTTAGGTGTTTCCTTGGGGCTGACGCCTCGCAAGCAGACCAAGGATGAACAAAAGCGCTTTGATAAAATCACCCAGGTCGCCAAAAGGATTGCCCTCCTGCCATGTAGTAAGGCTTTCAGGAACTCGGTGGCTGTCTCTGTTTTGGCCCCGTCCGCTTCCTGGGGTATATTGTTCAATGGCAGGTGTCCTACTAAACAGGAATGTACGTCATTTGCTCAGACCTGGAGATGTGCAGTGCAGGGGTTTGACCATCCTGGAGGCCATGACTCTCGTGATCTCACGGCAGTTTTGGCCATGGGACATTGCTCGGATCTCCTTTTTCTTTCCTCTCAAAAATTTATGACTGCTGTTCATAAATGGGTGCAGCGCCCTAATCAGAAGGCTGCCAACTCAGTTCAGTTCATGGCTTTAAGGAACGCTGTGCAGCGTCTTCAGGGGACTTGGATTTTTGACGAAGGGTTTTCTTTCACCAACGGTCAGTGGCTTACTAGTATGCAGACTGATGTCATTCCACGGTGTCAGCATTTGTTTCGCCAGCACTGGCGAAGGATGCGGTTCACTGCCTGGCTGCAATCTAAACGCATCGATTCACAGCTCGCCAGGGAGCAAGGAATCCATGCTACTGAGGTTCTCATTGACAGACTTAGGCATGCCGCCCGTGGTTGTACGGGGGATCAACTTTCGGTGCTTTGCGGCGGCATCACCACTGATGCCCATGTTGGCGGCTTGAGAGACTTTTGCCCAGACTGTGGTGCCCAGGTATGCCCATCAACATTCCATGTCCTGTGGGAATGCAAGAAATTTCAAGAATTCCGTGTGCTTGCTCAGCCGGAAGACCCCATGTGCGCCCGCATGGGATGGAATCAAGCTGAGATTCACTCCAGCCTAGGCCAGATGGCCAACATTCGTGCACTCGCCAACAACGCAAGGCTAAAAAGAGTGCGCGATCTGGGTGGGGCTCCCCCACGGGGGGGCACCACCTACTAAGGTGAAATTCGCGCGGCGCTGCCGCGCGTGTTGGTGGCCGCTACACCGCTGGCTGCTGCTGCTTGCTGCTGCAGCTGGCGCCACTGTGCGGCTTCAGCTTCGACATACCGGGACCCAGGACATTCGTTCGAATCAACGACTTAGCCGCACCGCCCGAGCCAGTGGATGGGCTGCAAGGGGATGCTAGTGTATGAATTGACATGACGACCCCGCCATGAGTTGGGGGTTGGAGGATTAGTTTCCATATGTTTCCATTGAAATTTGGCATTTTTCATATTTTTTCGAGGTCTCTGTTGATTTGATTTGGCAGGTTTTATGATTCCACACCATTGCTTGTTCACTCTTTGGTTGGATGAGCTTAGTGGCAAGAATGGTTGCACAGGTTTGAGTGATTCGCTAGATCCATGTATGCATCCAAGATACATGCATGTGCAGACAGGCAGGCAGACAGGCATGCATGCATACACACTTACATTACGTATGTACACGCACACACACACATATATATATATATATGTACATAATCATAATAACAATAATCATAATAATGATAATAATATTGATAATTATTACAATGGTAATGATCAAAATATAGTTAAAAACATTAAGTATCAAGGTTTGTAAGAGGCCGTGTCGATGATGACATTTGCCAATGACATGATGATTGTTCAAATGTCCAAAACTGCGGTAATTTGTGCAGGTTCATTTCTCTCTATCAAAGTTGTGGTTGATTTTCAATGGAAGGGTCACCTCAAAATTGCAAAATTGAGTGTTTTTCCACAAACAAACTGTTGTTTCGTGTGCCCAGGCCTTCTTGCAAAAGTTTCTCAGTTTCTCTTTTGTTCCTTCAAGCACAAAGTTCGCCAAATTTGTTGAGGACCTTGCTTGTGAGGGTTTGCACCACGTTTTGTAAAGGCTTGTTCGCAGTCTTAATATGAATAAAGGACAACAAATTGGACGGACTCAAAACGGCAAAAAAACTTTTAAGGCGTGCGATCACTAAAGTTTCTCAAATAAACGCAGTATGTCTGTCCATGGACATGTACCACAACCTAAAACATGTAATTATATAATTATATAAGTGTTTGATTCATGGTTTTGATCTACCCAATCACTTAAGATGTCATGACAACCAAAAACTGGTGCCAACCCTGTGCCATGTGCAAGCTAAAGTCACCTAAGAAGGGCATGGGGGTCGCACTTGCCCCTGAACCATGTGGGTCGCATTTGCCCCTGAATGAAGTGGGATGAAGTGGGTTCAGGGGCGAATGTGACCCTCGTTCAGGGGCGAATGTGACCCGTGCTTTTGCAGGGCAGGCGCAATAGTTTCAGAGCCTCAAAAGGATTTTTGTCCACCCTAGAGAGTCATATTCACGTGATATACGTTCCAACAGCCATTTCAATCAACTAGCAGCACGCTATGGATGCTACGTTGTAACATCCATTTCGAGCAACTTACGATGTCCCCTTGTCCCCAGGTTAAACCCTAAAGGGTTGAGTAACATATTGAATAGAGAGGCAAGTTACCATATGCCCCCAAGTCCCCCCTAAAGGTTCCCCAGTCCCCCTAAATGCCCCCTTGTCCCCAGGTTTAACCCTAAAGGGTTAAGCAACATATTGAATAGAGAGGCAAGTTACCATATGCCCCCAAGTCCCCCCTAGGTTCCCCAGTCCCCCTAAATGTCCCCTTGTCCTCAGGTTTAACCCTAAAGGGTTGAGTACCACATTGAAAGTATTGTGGTTCAGGGGCGAATGTGACCCCTTTTGGTTCAGGGGCGAATGTGACCCTCTTTCAGGGGCGAATGTGATCCCCCTAAGAAGCAATGCCGGAGTCAAGGTACAAATCCTATGGTCCGGCGGAAGGAAAAAAACAAATCCTATGTATGTTAATATTAGGGGGAAGGGATTAATGTCAACCCTGGATAAATAAACCCCGTTTACGGCTGTTTAATCGGGAGGGTACCATTTAAGATCATTTAAGTATTAGATGAAATGACTATTGGAGGAGCACCCCCTAATTAATAAACCATGGTTTAGAAAAATCCGGGGTTGACATTATATCCTAACATCTTCATTTGTCCACCGGATCATCGATGCATTGCTTCTCAGGTGCATCCGCTGACGTACATCGAACCCGTCGTGGCCTTGCTGATTGTCCCTGGGAAGCAATGCAGAAATTGGAATTTCACCAACAGAAATGGTGAATTCAGATGATTTCCCATGGGATTTAATGGGATTTTTCATGGGATCAGTGGGTGATTCAATGGGATTTTGTTATGGGATACTTATGTAATGGGATTGGCTCCAAAATTAAATGGGATCATGTTGTGTGGGATGTTTGACCACGAATAGTGCAGGGGCCCCAAACAAGAGCTAAGTTGGTAAAGAGTTCACATTCCGTGAGCTCTATGGTTTATATTTGATTATGGATGTTTATGATATCACTGTAGCTAGTGGGTGTATCTGGGGGTTACAAGTCAATTACTTATCACTGAGGGGGCCATATTGAAGGTTATTGGGCTTACCATATGTTACAGTAGTATCTCGATAAATTATAACGAACTCACGTCGCGACTTCACTCGAATAATGGTTGGTAGTTGGTAGGGGCAACTATATTCCAGAAAAGTCAAACATTTCAGGATGTTTCAGGTTATATGGCCATGGCTGTATATCTATATATAACGACTTATAAAAAAACATATGGTTCATCCAGATATTGTTATATAATATATTGTTATATGCGTTTCTCCAATGGATGGTATTTCATAGTTCCTTGTGGATCCCTTTGCCACTTAGACAACAGAATTCCTTTTCTCTAAACCATCAGCAGGCAATCTCGTCCAACATCTTGCCAGGTTGGCAACGGTGTGATGATTGGCCGCTGGTCATTGCAAGATGCCAATTTCCATGGCTTGAAATCTGCGGCATGCTGCATATCCCTACGAATGCGCACGCATTCGTTGTAAAGGTATAACTCTGCCCATTTTTTGAATAAGACACAATAAGACTCTCATCTACATATTATCTTTCGGGCGTGCTCACACCTTGGCTACATATCTGTTTACACAATTCATCTGAAACAGGTGATGGTGACGAGCACTACTTACTTGTTGGTGCAGTTGGAGTTATTGATGGGTATAGCCATGCGATTTTAACTGGCTATAGATCCACTTATAATTAGTCGAACTGCACGACCAATCCAAGTACTGAATTGATCTGGTTTTTCACCACCAGACATCAGCTCAGATGTGCAGGTACATACATCCTGGAGTTGCAAAAATTGGAACCCGTGGCGTGGGAAGCTGTGTTTTTTTTTTTTAAACATGTTGATCGGGAGCGGGATATGTGGTTTCAATTTCAATAGTCCTTCCCACCCATTTTTCAGTTGCCACCTTTGGGGGAAGATATGCAGGAAGGGTTAAGAGAAAGTACACTGAAAATTGCGCGGCAGTCCTGCTTGTTTTTCAGTAATCCTACACGGAGGATTGTCTCATTGACCGGCTGGGCTAGTTACAAGCTGCAAAACCACCAGGTTTGGCTGCTTGAGCCCCTGTTTGTTCAGCCCCCGGGCCCTCATACTGACTTCGTCGATTGATCCAGATCTGCTGTTCTGAGCGGGGTTCCAGAATACCTTTGTTCACGGTGCACCAGCGCCAAAAACATGTATTCCACCCTCCACAATACTCCACCAGTTTATCCTCCCAATGCGTTGCAAACTCGATGCAACAACCCGCCTTTTGATGTCTATGGTTTTCAAAATTATTTGCAATCTCCACTATCTCTGGCGAGTCATTGGTATATAATATAGTTCTTGGATGTTCTTGGCATCGCTCAGGTTTCCAGTCGGATCCCGGCTACGAGAATTGGCACGGCTGGCCCTTCCTGGAATTAGGTTTCGCCTGCCTGCTGATTCTCGAGGTTTTGCTGCGGATGCATTGGTGCCATGGTTGAAAAATCGCATTAAGGGATTTGAGTGGATGAATTCCGCGACAGTCTGGGTATATCATGGTATATCATCGTATATGTATCTATTGGATCCCAAATGATGCCCAACAAAATAAGAGGCTTGCCCCGCCCTTCGGCCTTCGTTCAACGATTTTGCCTCGCAGTTGTGCTTGAGCAAACTTGAGCCACTCCATGGGGTTAATCAACTGTCTTTGGTCCGCCGCTCCCTCATTTAAGCTAAGATGTTTTTACCCAGCGCAAAATCGTGTAAACACCGATCCTCAAATTTGGAATAATTTGCAGGTTTGAGCCAAAACAAATGGCAGAAGTTTGTATGGTCTACTGTATATTATCTGTTTGATGCTTGCGGAAAATGTATTATATACTATGAATTGTATTATATGTATATATATACAGACATTTTTGGTAGTAATAACAATTATGAGAATGACAAGTGTTTTTTTTAATACTTATTTTGTTAAAAAATACTTTACTTCGTGTGATCCCCACCATGACATTTATACATTTTGTTACTGGCAAATCTTCTGGCATTCTATCTGACATTTTATCTGACAGCATTCTATCTGGCATACCTTCTGGCATTCTATCTGGCATATCTTCTGGCATTCTATCTGGCATATCTTCTGGCATTCTACCTGGCATATCTTCTGGCATATGTTCTGGCATATCTTCCGGCATTCTATCTGGCATTCTATCTGGCATATCTTCTGGCATATTATCTGGCAAATCTTCTGGCATTCTATCTGGCATACCTTCTGGCATATCTTCTGGCATTCTATCTGGCATATCTTCTGGCATATCTTCTGGCATATTATCTGGCATATGTTCTGGCATATTATTTGGCATATGTTCTGGCATATTATCTGGCAAATCTTCTGGCATTCTATCTGGCAAACATTCTGGCACTTTATTTGGCATATCTTCTGGCATTCTATCTGGCATATCTTATAGCTTTCTATCTGGCATATCTTCTGGCATTCTATCTGGCCGTTGAGGTCCAGCGGTGCACACTGAGCCGGGCAGGTCCCAGGTTGAGGTCCAGCGGTGCACACTGAGCTGGGAAGGTCCCAGGTTGAGGTCCAGCGGTGCACACTGAGTTGGGAAGGTCCCAGGTTGAGGTCCAGCGGTGCACACTGAGCTCGGAAGGTCCCAGGTTGAGGTCCAGCGGTCCACATTGCGCTGGGAATGTCCCAGGTTGAGCTGGGAAGTTGGCAAAGAGCTTGGCGAAGAGTTGGCAAGGCGGAAGTTGAGGTGGAAGTTGATGCAGACATGGTCGAGGAGAAACTGGCGGAGGAGGCGGAGGAGGAGGAGAAGGAGGAAGAGGAGAGCTAGTCGAGGAGGAAGAGAACAGCTCTGATAAAATCTAACAACCCTCACCTGGCAGGTGGGGAACGATAAAAAAATATTAATCGCATTGGCAATAATATTTTTTTGCACATACAAATGCATATATATATAATATAATATATAGATATAATATTATATATATACACATATATATATACACATATATATATATCTAGATATGCGGAAACATCAGAGGTATAGGAGAGAACCCGAAGGCCACAGCTTCATTCAACTGTTGGACGTGGATATCTTTGGACTTTGAGCGGTTCAACTGTTGCGGCCCCGAAAGTGGTGTAGGCACTCCATTGCAGCAAGTGTCCAATGATTCCAGTTAATATCCACATGGTTGATGCGTATAAATTTTGTTAACTGTACCCATGGTTGATGGTGCCAATCATATGACCTATTAAACAATCCACGTTTGTTTTGTGGGTTTGATCCTTAGTCCATTAAGAGTCGGATGTGAAGGTTAGCATCGAACCACTACATACATACCTTTATTGTATATATCTATATATACATACCTTTGCCAGAAAATGAGATTTGGCTGTTCCAAGTTATGTTTCAAATAATTTTTGCCGTCTCTGCCCGAGATTATTGGATTAGGATGTCCACTTGGCATGTTTCTATGTCGTGTAACAGCCAGCATTCAGTGTGCTTCTGGGTCAAGGCTCTAGGTCCTGGAACTGAGGCTCAAATGCGCTCGATATTGGTGCGGACCTGATAGAATCTGGCTGCTCGGATTGTCACAGGCTGCAAGAATTGGGAGACGGGTCGTCCATAAATGGGCCCCGCAAATGGCCCCGATAAACCATTTGATTTTGGGGTAATTAAATGTAATTAAGCTCTTTGGCTGTTTGACACAATTTTGGATTCTAGGTAAATCTTGCTTGAGTTGTTGAATGATGTTGTTTGCTTGCCACAAACGTGTGCAGGTACTGCCCAGAAAAGAAACGGGGTGTCCAACACTATATAGCTATGCATCAGAAGTGCCCGAAGCGGAGGAAACACCAACTTCCAGCGACCAGAAAGATCAGAAAGTTTTCGCAACATAATCATAGTCATGAGTTATGTACATGTTGAAATAAACATCTCGAAATCACATTAAACCCCACATCATACCGGGTTCTGTGTTAAATTTGTATGGATATATGAATACATAGATGCATTATGTACACACTTGCTACTTCTAGAGGCTAAACACAGCCACAGATCACCGCTCTTAACGCCGCAGCCATCGCCGCGTCTAGGAATTGGTTCGATCTGTTCTTGGTCGCCGTTGGCATTTCGGATCCTCAGAAGGGATGGAGTTTTCACCATGGGTTTCAATACTAATATGGTCTAATGATGTCTAATGACTTGGATGATTTGGGGTACCCCTATTCTAGGAAACGCCCGTATATTCAGGTTTTGGAGTTTACAGCTTACCATCCCCCAAAACCATCCAAAACCAACATAGACATAGATCTGAGAATCAGCCATGTTTCGGTGAAAGTAGTCTTCCAAACCTCAATGTGGCAGGGTCTATTATATTAATTAATTAGTTCGGGAATGACGACCCCAGTTATAACTCGGCCAACCCTACGTAAGCCCAACTGGATTTTTCTACTGTAATTTTGTGGTACAAGCCACCTAGTAGGTCCAAATTGTCAGGTTGTTGGTCTTACAATCTCCGCGATTCTTCAGGCCTGCATTTTTTTGCGACCCCTTGATCCAATCTGGATTAATTCCAGCAACCTCACAGCAACCTCACAGCAACATCAGTCCGTGTAGATAAGGTTGATAAGGGAGGTTATCAGGAATTATCCGAACACTCCGGAGAGAGGAGAGAGTATCAGAAGTGCTTACTATAGTTGGAAGTTATATTTGTTTACTATAGCGAGGTTTGAAGTTGATCCAGTGGCATGGTGCATTTCCATTATTGGAATTGTTTCCTATAGCCTACAGTGGCTTGAGCAGCTTCAGCCAATACTTTAAGAAAGGCAACAGTAACCTGTAGCTTGGTGGAATGACCTACCTTAATTGGAACCCAAATGACATGTTTTCAATCTTTAGACCCATAAAATGGAGGGTTGACCATCCAAAAAAGGGAGTCATTTGGCAGACTTCTATCTCCTTCCGAGTCAGCTTGCAGCGCTCAGGACTTCTGCTTGCAGCTCTTTGGAACCGATGCGAGTATTCAACACGCATCCCTTCTTCGGTCTCTAGGCAGGGAAAATACACACGTGATGCATGGGCACAGGGGGTGCCCAAAGACCCAAAGATTCGCTAGTTCAACCACCCACATGAAGGGGCCTACTTAGCTAAGTTTATAGTTTTGTTGATTAGGTACATAGGGGTTACGGTTACGGTAATATAGGCATAATATATATATAATACACACAGTATTTTGGGTATATATTTATAGAAAGAAAGAAAGATAGATAGATAGATAGTTAAATAAATACATAGATAAATAGACATATAAATAGATAGATGGAATGTATATTTATTGACTGCTAGTTCAATGGGCGCCTTGTTGAAAGGACGATCATTGAACCTTGCTGACGTCCTTTGGGAGCTGCGCCATGGTGACTCCATGACCCAGGTGTAAGGCCAAGCCACCCATGGCCCCATGAACTGCTGCACTGCATGGCATCGGCAATTGAAGATGTTCCTAGCTTTTATATTAATATGTAATTATATATAATGTATTGTTGTTATGTATTTTTATTTTATTTGATGTAACTTAAATAGATAAATAAATAAATAAATGAATACATATATATATGTACAAATTCGGAAATCTTCCTGGTCCATTTGTTTAATTATAGCATGTCATTGAGATTCATTGAGGATATTGAGGGTAAAGGAGCCACCTTTTTCCAACTTTGTCAGTGAAATGATGGTGTAAACATTGGGTTCCACATGAGCTCATATTGTGCGCCCACATCATTGTTCCCAGATAAACTGTACTTTGGCCAGGTAGTTTACACATATTAATTACGTAATATTAAGTTCTTGTGGGGATCTTGCCATCTATTGTCCATTTTCTCCCCATGTTAGATGATGCAATCTCATTAAGTCACCATTTTCATTACTATAAGTCGCTCTTATATACCTATTTACATCTATATACATATATCATATAATAAATATATAGTCTATATATATATATATGTATTCATATATACATATGATATAACTATATCTTGGGATCTGCCATCATGTTCTGAGGTTCTGTCGTTTGATCCGCCTGGTGCGCATCGTCAAAGTCTTCCGGATCCGCATCATGCGAGACCTGCGTTTGATGGTGAAAGGACGGCGGTTGCTGGCGAGTAAACGACACCAGGGACGGAGTTAATGTAGGGGCACATATATATCATGGTTTTAATGTAGGAAATCATCCCCTTTTACGGCCGCAAGATTCAGGGTGAAATATGATAATTTACCCAGATATATATGCCTGTATCATTTTGAATATGTCTTATATATAGATATATATTATAGCCATGCACTTGCACATACAGCACATACCTATATGCATGCATACATTATACATCTAATATGACTGACTTTTGATGTTACTGCCAATGGCAACTTACGGACATGATTTGAACAACATTCATGACTGTTCTTACAGATTAGGTGTTTACATGTGCGTTGTTTACTGTGTTGTTATTTTCTCGAACACATGCAACACGACACGCTTGCTCGATGAGTGTCATCCACATGCTTGCAGACTTGTTTGCGGGATTGTGGTAAACCGTACGCCGTACGCCCGAACAAAAAAAACATCCCAAGCTTACTTGTACTTGGAAATCGGTTGTATAAGCCATTCCCAGACTGGGGGGACTTGATTGGGTTTACCACTGTACTTGGCTGTCTTGGAGTTTTGCGATTCGTTTGGGATAATAGCTTCTGATACTTGGCGTTCAGAACTTGATCCTCGACCTCAGGGCACAAGCAAGAAAAGCAATTTCCAATCCACTAGAAAATAAAACACAGCATATGCTGTTCAGATTTCTATTACACACCCCTAAAATACCCCTAAACGATCCAAATATGTCTAAATCCTTACTAAGCAATGGTTTCTGGAGGGGGAGTTGAATACCAGGGATTATTTCGTTTCTTTGACGTTCAGCTCTAGCTGTCTCGAGAAATGGGCGGGCCTTGAAGAGCGATAACCCCTTTGATGAGAACAAATTAGGTGTCATGTTTGTTCCCTTAAGAAACAGTGAAACATATAGTAGTGTTTAAAATCATGAGCATCCTGAAACGCAGCATTTCTTCAAGTTATATCTTGTGATACCTGAATTGTGACCGATCTTCACGTTACTTCCACGTAATTGCTTGGACCGCAGGACTCATCGCGGGTATTCGAACGCTCTTCCTGGTTCCTTGGCGCCGGGTCCGCGGCTTCGCTCCTTCGCGGTGGTTCTGGCTGGTGCCATGATGTGACATGTGGGGTGGAAAAAGAATGAGATTTACCCGGTAAAGTAACATAGATCTGGAAAATCCATAGTTTTTAATATATATATATGTATGTATGTATGTTTGTTTGTTTGTTTGTATGTGTGTATGCGTGTATGTGTGTATGTGTGTATGTGTGTATGTGTGTATGTATGTATGTATGCAAGTATGTATGTATGTATGTAAGTATGTATGTATGTATGTAATGTAATGTAATGTAATGTAATGTAATGTATGTATGTATGTAATGTAATGTAATGTAATGTAATGTAATGGAATGTAATGTAATGTAATGTAAGTATGTATGTATGTATGTAATGTATGTAATGTATGTAATGTATGTAATGTATGTAATGTATGTAATGTATGTAATGTATGTAATGTATGTAATGTATGTAATGTAATGTAATGTAATGTAATGTAATGTAATGTAAGTATGTATGTATGTATGTATGTATGTATGTAATGTATGCTATGTATGTATGTATGTACGCATGCATGCATGCATGTATGTATGCATGCATGTATGTATGTATGTATGTATGTATATATACATTATTTATATATATATATTCATATTCGGTATTTTCCACATCTATATATTATGTTAGTTTACTGGAGGGTACCATCAGAAATGCCATATGGAATATACATATACACCTGGTAATCTAGCATTGTGCTACGGAAATATCGCCCATCGATGGTTTACCCTATGAACAGCGGGTTGGTTTTCTATAGCACATGGTTCAACTACCAGAGAGAGGCCGTGGAATTTTCACCTCCTGTTGGGGTATAGCATGATAGAACCCTTGGAAGTGTGGCCATCATCCATGAAAATAGGCTTTTGCAAAGCCATTGCGTTTGGATTCCCGCTATGGGATAGATGACTCATAGATGACCATAAACTATTCATGCATATTCATCCCATAGGCTGACCATGGCAGGCCTTTTTGAAACCAAGGCCTTCATCCTTCTCTTCGCGGTGTTGTACGTCATGTCTGGCTTCGCCACCTTGACGCCGCCAGCCACGATGTGGGGTGAAGATGGTTGTTGGGCCACCGTTTACGATAGGTAAGTTGGTTTATGTTGGTTTACTTCACTAAGCTACTAGGATTCATCAGGATTTATGGTTGATATTTTCATTGCGACGCCCTGGCAAAAAAAAACAAAAATCATAGTTTGATGGGCGAAAACAACAAAACAACTCTCCCTGTTGGGGTGGGACCAACCATGCGGGATACTATATATACACCCTCCAGTATATAATCGAAGTGGCAATTGAACATCCGCCAGATATAGATGATTTTCCCATGGAAACTTCCATTTCCAGGGGATTTTCAACTGCCCACGTTTGATTACCAGAGGGTATATATATATATATGTGATATATGTACATATGCAGGGATATGTGCTGTCCTCGCTCATGGTGAGCCGCTTCAGTCAGGATTGGAAACAGTGAAACTGCAGATGCTTGGCGTGGCAGTGCCCACCCCCTGGTTGATGTGGTGATTGGACAACAAGTATAGCACCCCAAAAAAAATATTTGCCACTAAGTTCGTCCTACTAAAAGGAATGGAAAATAACCTGCCCATACGTTTCTATCTTTTGGGTGTTTCTATATTCCGATACCCCAAGTGTTATCCACATTTGGGCAAACCAAGATGAATAGGTTCAATACATACTAAACCGGGGTGGTCGCAAGGGAGGAGACCACCAGAAGCCCGGGAAGCGACCAACCAACGATCTCAAGGGTCGAAGCCGTGTAAATCCTGGATGATATTGCTATCCCCGAGAAATGGGGGAGATACTGTACCGTTTGGATCCATTTTGTTATTTAACGTAGCAAACTGGAAAATCACCAGTTTAATTTTAGGAAGAATTATGATTTTCATTATCTATACATGGGCCATGGCTTCCAAGGCAAACTCTTAAATAACCAGAGGGTAAACCCCAGATATAGATAGATACAGCCATGGCCCCATCGAGCATCAACTTTTAGGGCTGCTCCATGTTTCAGTTTCAACCTGACAAAGCTACGTTTGGTGCTGTCCCCGTTCGATAGCTAAGTTGGTGAACATAACTCAAATAACAATGGTTTATAGGTGATATATCTATAGTTAATGGGCGTATAACCAAATTATAACTGGGGGGGCACCACCTTGTAGATGATATACTGATGATATTTTGTTTTGTTGATGATAAGAGTGAAAAAGAGTTTGTCATGTTGATGACTCGTGGAAAGATGTGGAAAGCCTCACGTCGTTGAAAACGCCACGCAGCTGCACGGACGTGCATCCCAGTTAGTATATATATATAATTGGTTCTAGAAGATAGATATGTTTAAAATACATTAAAATACTATATATACATATTAATTTTCATTCAATAAGATACATATAGTATGTAATTTATGTCACACGTGTTTTTTGTGTTCTAAAAAATGTATTTATATATATATATCACACATACTATATAGTGTATTGTTTATCTTATGTGTTGTTATTTAATAATATATTTAATAGTTGTATATAACGGATATATAATATAATATAAAATATGGTATAATATTTAACATTTTGAATAACATATAAAGTGAATGTAATATTTAAGATTGAATATATAAAATTCATTTAATATTGCATACATATACAACACAAAAATATTTAGATATACACAATGCAATATATAGCCTTTACATATAACCACATATATTACATGACTGTGGGTATTCCAGTCAGTAACCTATCTATATTTGTTTATTTTGTCTTATCTTATTTTCATCTATCTAAATATCTATCTATATTTATCTATCTATCTTTCTATCTATCTATCTACCTATCTATCTAGCTAGAACGTTCTTTCCTTAGATGCTACCGCAGCTTGAAGTCACGGGCTGACCTCCATCAATCTGGAAGGAAAAACTGGGCCTCACAGAATACTTCTACAACATTCCTCGCTCGATGTTCACCGCCTTCCGTTGCTTCACAGGAGAGCGTGTCGCGCGGTAGAACTGCAGCTGTTGTTAAGGGCGAACTCTGGGCCGGGTTCCGGAACGAAAGACAATTGCTGGTCTTATCATGCCTTGAACATGGTTTAACATGGGCCTGTGCCAACCAACATGTTTTGAAAGGAATTGGTTGAAATCACCAACCAGATATCTCTTTTGACTCTTTTGAGAGAAAACCAAACCCTGTAGCTAGCAGCAATTGGCTGTCTCTGTGTTTACATTCAACCAATTTGAGGCGATGTTCGTTTTGATCTGCTCAGATGGTATTGCTTCCTAAGAGACAGGGCATAGGAGGAACCCATTCAACGTTGAACAAACAGAACATAACATGCATATGTACTGGGCACATCCGTACATACATTTAAACAAAAAAATATACAGCTACAGCCTACAGCACGTTTATAGATAGGTAGGTGCCTAGATTTAGATGCAATGTTTTATGTTACATATCGCACTTGTCCGCCTGAAGGGCGCAGAAAATTCATTTGTTATCTGTCATAATTTCATATAATTTCTACCATGCTAGCATGATTACTGACAGTATGTTGATGTATGTTGTGTAAAAATGAATTATATCTATTTATAATACATGCTCAACGTTTACAGTAGGTGTTTCTCTTCATTTGCGTATGTATGATCAAATCATAGTTGTGAACTTATGTGTGAAGGAGTGGTGGTTTGCTCATGTCCAGGTGAATGAAGCCGGTCAGCCCATCCACTACATGTTGGCCGCCGAGTTTGGTTCTCCATTTGTTTTGGCCTATGTGGCCAGCTACATGTTAGTCACCATGGGATGCTTGGCTATCATTTTTGCTTTCTGGGGGACCGACGTTGTTTTTGTTAGTTTATGTTGGGTGCATACACATATCATATCATATTATATATGTACGTATACGCACGCACATAGATGATAAAAGCATTGCGTTGTATACCCTCCAATCATTCCAATCATTCAGCATAGCTATGGAAATGACCACTATCGCCAAATCATCGAATTTTCCCAGCGTTCTCTGTGGAAATGTCGGCGTTCTCCATGAATATATGGTGCCATCAGGCATGTTATAGCCAACAATAATGGGATATATATATATATATATCGGATTTAACCAACAATGAGTATAGAATGGGGAATTCGCCACTATGAGGATATTTAAGGGGTATATAAATTATATATGATACATGAACGGGGAAAATAGCTTACTATCAATAGCAGGTTTTGGATTTGTTCCAACAAATTGCGCAGATGACTCAATGGGCAACTTCATGTCTTTTTGATTGAATAACATGTGGCTTTTGGGGATGACAAGCCCCTCCTCGCCGTTGCAACCAAATATACCCATCTGTTTATTTGGGCGAGAAGATGATGACAAGTTGCGCATAAGCACTAGGGGTTAAACTTTTTAAGGGGAGGTGGGAACTAAGCAATACTCACTTAGAAGTTGCATCAATCTCACTGGGCCATTTCTGTTGGGGAACAGTTGTTTGGGGATCATTTAGGTTCATTCAGTAATAAGACGGTTTAGTGTGTTCAAACTCTTAACAAGATATACCCAGTTGATCCCAGTTCAGTAATAGATATGGAAATTCCATCATTTCTAGATCGTTGTCACACTGTCCTGGAACACCAATGTTTGTTCAAGTTCTATAATGTTTTTTTTCAGGATAATGGTACCCCCCCTTACCGGGCGGCCATGGCTAGGAATTTTCAATGTGATCTTGGCAGCGCCTTGGCATCCGAGCATCGTTTTCGACCAGGTCGCTTAAGGATATGTCGCCCGCAGCTTCCATTTGTTTCTCTTCATCCTGTTTCAGCAAGTCTCGGATTCAAAAACATGTTGTTGGTTCTGTAGCCCCTTTTCAATTCCCGTGTGACGATCAACTTATTTAAAGGCCGCAGCAAACAAGTCTTTCACAAGGAATGCTTCTCGGCTGCTTGGAACCATTGTAGTCGAAGTTTGCTCGATTTCATACATACTTGGCCCGATTTTTCGAAATGACATCACCTAGTTACCCAACATGGGTAGATCTCAGGGATTCTTAGGGTGTACCCCTGGATTTCACTTGGAGAAGCACATGTGTTTTGAGCTGTCCATACCTTGCCTTGGCAAAGGAAACAATCCCATCCTTACTAGCCTAAAAAGCTCCGCTGAATTTCTTGAGAAGGCGATTCAGAGAGAGAAAATCCAGATGTTGTTTTCATTCCATTTTATTCTTGGCCAAACCTATCTCCATTTTTTTCAGGATTTAACCATGGATGTCCCATAAGATATCCCCATCTCCCGCGTTGAAATCCAGCGCTTCCTGAGGTCTACGTGGATATCACCATGAAGGCCGCCAAGGAGACGGACGCTGTGCCATGGCGATAGGATGCGGCCCACGGCCACTGCGCCGTCCTGGGATGGGTGGTGCACCCGTGTTTTTTTTGGTACGAATTATATGGAGGATAAAAGGGGTTATAAATAAATAAATAAATAAATAAATAATATATATATATATAATATGTATATAATAATTATATGTATAATATGTGTTTTGTTAAATTACGGTATATCTATATTTTTTCTGTTTGTTTGTTTGTTTGCGTGTCTGTCTATCTATCTATCTATCTATCTACCTATCTATCTATCTATTTATCTATCTATCTATTTATCTATCTATATATTTGCATATATACGTTTATGTAAATGGATGTATCAACTTAATCGGAAACACCCAGCACCAAATCGATGTTTTGAAAGATAGGTTAGTGAGAACTGTTGACATAACCGAAGGCCTATGAAATCAATGTATCAATTGATTAAAACCGAAGGCATTCCCAACCTCAGAAATGCCATGTCATTGGCACTCCAGTGCTTCCCCTGGACCTAGGTCACGGCGGAGCAGTATTCCAGAGAATCAATCAGGTCACCGGGGGATACAGAGTTTGGGACCGCAGCGCTTTTGGTTCCAGTAACCTAACGTATTGCATGAATTGGCAAGGAATCGATCTCAAACGGTGGATTTCCACATGTCCGAATGAAAAATGGAAGTTAATTTCTAGAGAGTTTCGACATTATATATATATATATATCTGGGTAAATTATAACGACCTCACTGCGACCTCACTGGAATCATGGTTAATAAGGGAAATCATCCCAAATGGCCTTAATTCAGGTCAGTGAAATATTGTAATTTACCCATACATACACACATATATATATATATATATATATGGGTATATCTATCTATATTTATATATATATGTGGGTGTGTGTATATATATATGTGATTATATGTGGCTGTGTATATATATATATATATATGCATACAGTATATACGTGTATGTCCATGCACTTTCTGTTCCAAAGCTTTTGAACAAGCAGTGCTGCCAAATTGGGCCAGGATAGCACGGACAACTCGCGAGTTGCTCAAGAAGTGACTTGGGGCCCCATAGGGAAACCGATGATTCAACTCAGGAAATGGGGGCAGATCATTAACATCCGGGAATCAAATGTGGCAACGGGAAATCCGCTAGAAATGGAAGTTTTAATGGTAAAGTCATCTATAAATGGTGGATTGTCCATTGCCATGTACCGGATGGCCGGATGGTAAAATATGATAACAGCAGTCTATGGTGATATAGATACATGATATATGACATCTAATATTTGAATGAGATGTTTATGTATATGCATATATACAATTAATATTATCAATATATTTAGACCTGGATGAATTATGAAGCTTAGAAGGACTTCACTGGCCGACGTCAGACAAGATGATGGTTAGGGAAAATCAAACCATCCAAATCCAAAATGACCTTACCCCTTACCCTCTGGTAATTTAATAGATGATTTGCCTACTACAGTAGAAATTATTAGTTTATCTTATTTCAGGTTTGTGATTTTTGATCATTCAGTCAGATTGATAAACTCTTGGTGACTTTGCTGGGGGAGCTATCGGCTGTTCTCCAGGGTGGCTAACCCCCATTATATTCATGGCAATTTCAGGTACCAATGTACTGTATTGAAGGTACCATATATATATATATATATAAGGCATATGTAAGGGCTATGTATATATATATATGGGGATTTGCCCCATTGATTATACATTCAGATACAGCATGTTGTTTTGTTTTGTTCACTCCCAGTCATTGAAGTTTTTAAGCAACTTACCTGTCTAGGTTGCGGACAGCTGCCTGATGAAGATATGCCACAGAAACCATGGCCCTGGTCGTGGGTGCCTGCAAGAAACAGAAAAGCAAAGGGACCGCGGGCCTGTAAGGCATTTGGCCAAACTCTTGGTGATGGCCATGGGGAGAGATTCCCAGTAGTCTTTTATGAATGTGTTCTTTTTGTATCCAAAGTGTTTGTTCGTTACCTTCAGGGGACCGCTTTGATTAAAAGTTTGATTAAAAGAGGACTGGTATTAGCCTGCGCACTGTATTTAGATATATTTAGTTGACTTACACCTCCTGAACCTAGGGACCTAGGGGTCACATTTCGTACAGAAACAACAACAATATCGAATCATCAGGGTGGAATTTTGGGATATATATTCTCGCTATCGGCCAACGGGCCCCTGTTATCAAACAACAATCTGGACCAGGGCCGGTTGCTTCATGTCCCAGCGTCCCAGGTTTTCTTTGGCGCATCGTGTGTATCACCTCAATGAGGGAGAGGACAGACTTGCATGCCACGACTGGTGGCGGAGGAAGCAGTGAGTCGGGTTGAAGGGATGGTATTCCCTCAGAACCTCTGTGGAGCCAGTTGGAGCCACAATGGATGAAATGTGAGCGTTTTTCCCCATCAATTCATCAATTTTCCGAAAAAGAACTCCGATGATTGGTGGGCCCCTGCTGGGTTTGTCTCTTGTGTTTTGAAAGATTTTGAAAGGGTGCTCAATTGATTGTGGCAGTGTAGTGTGGTAGACACACAAGTACCGACTCTTGCAGATATGTGTGGTATTGTCAATCCATGTCAATCCGCGTTTAGAGGCTTGGGTTTCCCACAGTACCCGTATGCTCCATATTTACCTACATTGAGGCCATTTATGGGGTGCATGTTTGCAAATATTCCATACATTACATGGAGCATATGGGGTAGCAAAGATGGCCTGCATGGAGCATAGGGTTTCCGAAGCATCCCGAAGCCCACAGCTGGTGGGGTAGATGGACCAATGTTGATATAACAGAATATTATTACTATTAAATATGATTAACATAATAAAATATATAACATAATAAAGTATAATATTGGATTTTTATATGCTTCGAAGAAATATAACATGATACAATACAATACACATACAATACAATACAACACATCATCACAACATCCAATTATCAATGTTATCAATGACTGTTCAAAGCATCCCTGTTGATTGATAGCCTTTATATACTTAACACTATTAAACCTATCCTGTATGAACTGTGCGGATGATAATCATCCATGAACTGGGAATCCCGTTCTATTTCCCACCCATGGCAGGAAGAGGAAGAAGACAAGGCTGAGGCTGAGGAAACTTGGCTAGAGACGTGCCCAAAGGATCCAAAAGGGATGATTATCCTAGTGGATCATAAAGTTATGGACGATGGTGACGGTGTGACAGTGATGGTGATGGTGGTGATGATGATTCTGATGATGATGGTGACAATGATGATGAGGAGAAAAAAGGAGGAGGAGGGGGATCAGGATGATGATGATGATGATGATGGTGATGATGATGATGATGATGATGGTGATGGTGATGGTGACGATGACAATGATGGTGATGGTGATGGTGATGGTGATGGTGATGGTGATGATGGTTGCGACAGGCAGTTTCAGTACGAAGAATCATCAATTTGGTGGTTCCACTTTTTCAACAGAGTCTTTAAACCCCTTTGAGGCACAAAATTGCCATAAATCGAGGGTTTCAATCCACTCAAAGAAAACCGTGTTCCTCAGTTGTATTGGACTGTCCAGTTGAACCAGGAATCGACCAGAACCAAGCTGGCAAAGATGAAGACAACCACCATGTGCCGTGGCGTTTGTTTGTTGTATGGGGGATATGCTGCCCAGGCGGCAGGCAATCTATGTTCTGAGGCAATCAACTGGAAGGGGTGGTGTTGTAGGATGTTGTAGGACTTAATCTGTTTCTATGCCATCTATAAGGGGGACGTTTACTCATCAGCTATCTTTGCGCAGAATATCCAGGACTGGCTTAAGACTGGCCACGTTTGGTTGGTATGATTGATAAACCCGTAAGTGCATACATGCAAGACCCTGCAAGAGTGTTCAACAGTTTCCATTTGGAAAGCCATGAGTTGGGCTGAGGAAGCGGTGACAGGTTTCCATTGTTTTCTGGTTGAAACATGTTGAAAATGAGTGATTTGAACCAAGATCGGGAATTTATCAATATTATCAATACAGCCAAAATTGTTTTTTGTACATGACTACCTTGTTAGTCACTCATCCTGCGAGCTCGCAGGTTTGAGGAAGATGGAATGCATGAAAAGATCGCCATCTCTAAGGACCATCAGTAACTTTGTGGTGAGCCACCGAATCCTGACTGGCTAATGTTTCAGTGGCGTTAGTTCAGCAAATACGAATCGTGGTCTTCTTGACCAGGGCTATACTAACTAGTTTAGGCTTGGATGACCCCCCAAGCACTGAAGTCAGAAATGGCAGAAAGGTATAGACATTAGACTGCATAGGCATGGTGGATCATTTCATATACGACACCCCATTGGATCAATCCCTGAGTTTATGGGCTCCGATGTTGGCAGCTGCTGTTGTGGACGTGTTTTACTCAAAGATGTTGTGTTTAACTACTAAGATATACATAGATGATCATAGATGTACATAGATATACTAGTTGGTGATATTTGATGATTGTTTTTTATTTTAAAAAATAACTTATGCTACATTATACTTGTGGATAAGTGTTATTTTAACAGTAAGACTTGACTACACATGTTCATGCTTGACACGATGAGAACAGTGTACATTTGTAATTGTAGGATGGTCAGCCTAGATTCGAACAGTAAACCGTTTTGAATTCGCCGATCGTGTGGATATAAGTTTCGTTTTGAAACTACGGTAATTTGTTACAGTGTGTTCTTGAAAATCACCATGTTTCATGGGTAAAATCGAACCAGCCATGGGCCATGGCTTGGCTATGTAAGAAATCACTGTACCGATCCCAAACTTGGCAGAAGTTGTTCTTACTGGTGGTCCAAGACCAAACCGTCCAGGCGGAAACAGGGAAACGCCGAACGGCGAAGCATATTTGGAACCCACTTGTGATGGCATGGGCTTGTATGAAAATCTAGCGGAAAAAACATGGAAAACCTGAAATCCAGAGGTTTATCATTAAAACTGAATTGCCATTTAAATGAGTCTCACTTGACGACATGGCGATGGAAAGAGATTTAAATGGGCATACCCAATTTTCAGACAGATGCAGAAGTTCTATTCCAGAAATACGGTTTGTATTGTATATGCGAACAAAAGGAGTTACCAAAACAAACAAACTGCATGTGATTTTCGTTGGGCCTGATGGGGGTTGTCGAGGGTGTCTTTGGCGTTGGTATAATTGGAAACATCTTTCATTTGCACATGCATGACTATACATTACACACATATAATATATATATATATATCAATATGTGTATATATATATATGTGTACATATACATAAATATGCATACATACATACATATATATATATAGATATGTATGTATATGTCGACATTGTAATGTATATATATATATATAATTATATTTCTTTATATGTGAATACGCGTGCATTTTTGAATGCAATACATGTTTACTTGATTTAATTTCAGTGTTATATCAATTTGTTAATTGAGGGCATGGAGTCCCCGAGCGGAGCTTGATTTTCCGCGGAGATATTGGACTTATGCCAGTTGGAAATACGTGGAAGATCCTGCACTGCTGGCTTCAGGCTTCAGACCCTGTCTCCGAAGAGGGTTGTTTCATTTGGAAGATTGTCAATCAGCTTCAAATATCAACGCATGATTGCCGCATGATGAAACATGATGTTTTCGTTCCCTCCTCGGAACCACCCAAATGGATTTTTCTCCAAGTGTGGGAGCTTCAGAATTCCAGGCTTGATCCTTAAGATCATCGTTCCCACGTGTGACCGCTATATTCGCCATAACCCTTATAAAAGTTGTCAGGAATTTGACGTTCTGGGCCGAACACCGTTGCATCTATTCCATTTGACTTTGTCCATTCCACCCCATTTGGAGTGTCTTCTTTCATGTCAATAATCGACCCAAAATGAAAACACATGCCCATTCATACCTACTGTTTAGTCTACGGATACCCATATATCATGCATAGTATGCACATATATATATATATAACTTAAAAAAGGAAGAACCATCTAAACACCCCAGGTGTTCTCAGATGTTCTCAGCCACCGCAGGCACTCATGGACGAGTTAGATTTGCCGCCGGATCGTGCCAACCTGTCGCTTGATTCTGAATGGTTCAAGATTTGGGACTCTCCTAGTGGTTACAGTTGAAAACTGAGATATGCGTTACGAAACTTCCTCAATAATATGTACAGTACTGTAATGTATATATCTATGTGGAGATGTATAGCGACGGACAATCACTTAGAACGTATCACTTAGAACGTAGGACAATTTATCACTTAGAACTTAAAACCATCACTTAGAACGTAGGGAGGCCAATTCAACACTTAGAACGTAAAACCAACACTTAGAACGTGCTAAGTGATTGTCCGTCGCTATAATCAACACTTAGAACGTGCTAAGGGATTGTCTGTCGCTATAATTATGAACAATTAACATGTGATATGTATATACATACATTATGAATATATATTATAAAAATACTACTAGTATCCAAATCCTTCGAGAAATCGATGAGGTACCCACCCTTTCAAATGAATAATTAACATATGTATATACATTATTTATATATATATATATATATATTATAAATAATTCCTTCCCCGTAATACTAACCCCCCAAATAATATCAAATAATTAACACCTCAGGTAGTTTTTATTATTAGGGTGGTAGTATTTATCATTAGGGAACCAAAGCGGACCCTAAAAATAAATTGAAACACTTATATATAATTAAAAAAAACACTCTTTTTTTCGATTTCAAAATCAATTAAATTTCCTTATATAACGCGATGAAGAATATTGCCAAAAATTGGATTTCGAAGCGGACCCTAATAATAAAATTAAAGTCCTTAATGAGAAAGACTATTTTTTTCGATTTCAAAATCAGTTAAATTTCCTTATATAATGCAATTAAAATATTGCCAAAAAATTGGATTTCGAAGCGGGCCCTAATAAATTTAAAACCCTTAATGAAACAAAACTATTTTTTTCAATTCAAAATCAATTAAATTTCCTTATATAACACAATTGAAATATTGCCACAAATTGGATTTCGATGCGGACCTAAATAATAACTTAAAACCCTTAATAAGAAAAATATTTTTTCGATTTCAAAATCAGTTAAACGTCCTTATATAACACAATTAACATATTGCCAAAAATTGGATTCCGAAGCGGACCCTAAGAATAAATTTAAAACCTTAATTTTGATGTTTTTGTTCGCTTTCGAAATCAATTGAATTTCCTTTTATAACGCAATTAAAATATTGCAGAAATTGGAATTCGAAGTGGAATCGAAATTATGTCTATGTTTCCTACGGAATTAGCTGCTGAATCCAACACTTAGAACGTCAGAACCCCCAAAAAGCACCAAAAGGTATAGTGTTCCAGAGATAAAGAACGCCAATATTTGCAAATCATATGGGAGCCAAATCGTACGAAATTGTGTCTATGGTTCCTACGAAAAATAATTAGCTGCTGAATCCAACACTTAGAACGTCAGAACCCCCAAAAAGCACCAAAAGGCACAATATTTGCAAATCATATGGGAGCCAAATGGTACGAAATTGTGTCTATGTTTCCTACGAAAAATAATTAGCTGCTGAATCCAACACTTAGAACGTCAGAACCCCCAAAAAGCACCAAAAGGCATAGTGTTCCAGAGATAAAGAACGCCAATGTTTGCAAATCATATGCGAGCCAAATGGTACGAAATTTGTGTCTATGTTTCCTACGGAATTAGCTGCTGAATCCAACACTTCGAACGTCAGAACCCCCAAAAAGCACCCAAAAAGCACCAAAACGCATAGTGTTCCAGAGATAAAAAGATCGCCAATATTTGCAAATCTTATGGGGGGGGAAAGGCACGTGATACGAATTTATGTCTATGTTTCCTACGGAATTAGCTGCTGAATCCAACACTTAGAACGTCAGAACTCCCAAAAAGCACCAAAAGGATCCAAAAGGTATAGCGTTCCAGAGATAAAGTTCGCCAATATTTGCAAATCATATGGGAGGGAAAAGCCAAATGGTACGAAATTTTGTTTATGTTTCCTACCGAATTAGCGGCTGAATCCAACACTTGGAACGTCAGAACCCCCAAAAAGCACCAAAAAGCACCAAAAGGTATAGTGCTCCAGAGATAAAAGATCGCCAATATTTGCAAATCATATGGGAGCGAAAAGCCACATGGTACGAAATTATGTCTATGTTTCCTACGGAATTAGCTGCTGAATCCAACACTTAGAACGTCAGAACCACCAAAAAGCACCAAAAGGTATAGTTTTCCAGAGGTAAAGACCGCCAAGATTGGCAAATCATGTGGGAGGGAAAAGCCAAATGGTACGAAATTATGTCTATGTTTCCTACGGAATTAGCTGCTGAATCCAACACTTCGAACGTCAGAACCCCCAAAAAGCCCCCAAAAAGCACCAAAAGGTATAGTGTTCCAGAGATAAAAGATCGCCAATATTTGCAAATCATATGGAAGGGAAGAGCCAAATGGTACGAAATTATGTCCATGTTTCCTACGGAATTAGCTGCTGAACCCAACACTTAGAGATAAAAGATTTCACAAGCCTTTTCACTATCATCATTGACCCAGACACGTTCTAAGTGTTAAATTCCTCGGTACGTTCTAAGTGATGAATCTTGATATTTGAACGTTCTAAGTGTACCTCTTAGAACGTAGAGAATTCATCACTTAGAACGTCGCTGACGGCAGAATACTCAGATTTTTCTCAAAAACGTTCTAAGTGATTGTCCGTCGCTATAGATGGATATAGAACTAAGTATAAATATTGCATCATATGAACAGGTAATGATGGGACCAAAGTATCATAACTGGAAGTTCTTGGGTGTGTAGTTGGGATCACACTAATGGGTAGTAGAATTGGATTTAAACACCAGAAGTTGGGATAGAACCTCCAGTTCTATGTCTATTTGAAACTGGAACTACACTCCCAAGCCCCCAAGTTGAAGCTGTCAAAAATCGGGTTTTCTTGGCCGTTACCACGCCTGGATACCTGAATCTCCCGAACTTCCAGTGCTTCCGCTGACTGCTTCGGATCTCCGCGCCACTGTGCGCAAGATGCAACATCGTGCCTCGGGCACCGACGGTTGGGACGCGTGTTGTCTTCTCCAGTTGCCGGACGAAGCGTTCCAACAATTGGTGGATCTCCTGACCCGCATTGAAGCCGGTGCCCCTTGGCCCGCAGGTCTTACTCACTGGAGAATCACTTTCATCCCTAAGACGCAGGAAACCTCTGTGGGCCCTACCGACGTGCTTAAAGTTCGGCCCATTTCCATCGGTCCTTTGCTTTATCGGGCCTATGCTAAACTTCGGTTTGTTCAGCTGGGCCGATTCCTGCTTTCATCCCTCCCTGATCTGCAGGTGGGCGGCTTGCCCAATCTCAGTGCTGAAATGTTGGTTCTTTCTCTCCTGAACGAAACCAGCCCAACCTCCCATCCCTTTGGCGTCCTACCACCACCTCAGGTTTGAGATCATTGACGCTGATGGTTCGGGAACTCTACAAATTACAGCGGCTTGGCCACGGACGCTGACGAACAATATAAGGGTTTGAAGATGGGGAACAACCCAAGAATACTAAACCGATAATTTTATAAAGTCACGTTATTAAATGATACAGTATTAAATGATCTTTATTTGAGGTTGGTCATTTATTCATAAGTGTATATATACGTATATATATATATATATAATTGTTGTATATCAAAACTGGGTAGATACGGTTTCTTAATTGATGATATGTCCGCCATGTCGAAGAATTCGCCCAGGAGTTGCTCCATGGTTTGCTGAAGATTCGTGGCGAGATCAACAAGAGCCACGTGGCAGGGACGGGCCCCGGGGCTTTGGTGATGGTCCACGAGGTCCACAGACGGTGGTGAGAAGTTGATGGATGGCCATGGAGTCATTACCCTCTGGTTATGCCAAAATAGCTATTATTGAAAATGACAATTTATAGTGGATTTACCCATTGAAAATAGTGATTTTCCATAGTTATGTTAGTTTACCAGAGGGTAAAAAAATCATTTCATGAAATATCCTGAAATCATATGAAATCAGATTCTGAAATCATGGGAAATAGATGACAAGTTGAATCTATACAAGGTGGTGCCCAGTGATGGCTTAAACAGTGTATAACAGTATGTATAAACCACATGAACTCGTTTGTTTAATATCTACCATAAATTATAGCTATGTTCACCTGGCCAACGAACTGGGGCCCATTTTAAGACCTTGTAGACCATTGAAGAGTTGAGAAAAATGAGATGAACGATGGTACTAGCGAACAGTGATGCTGAAGGAAGTCATGACCCAATGGTTGACTTCAGAGCCATTGGTATAATATCATGTTGATTGGTGAATGATAAGAAGTTATACTACCCGATTATTAGGGATTATCTAACCCATATTAGGGAAACCTATCAGCCAACTAATTCGTACAATGACCTGATAAGCAAGGCCGAAAAGGCACATCGTGGCACTAGAACCGGTGAGTTTCATCATCCCCAGGCCTGGCTAGACACACCAAAGATCATGGAGTTTACATTTCAAGATTTTTAAGGCGCAGGTTTTTTCCTAGTTGTTCCTAGATGTTTTGTTTCGTTCTCTACCTGAAGAATCGCATGTTGCTTGGGAATTGGAAACCCCATCACTGGGCCACGAAATGACATTCAGTTTATCAATGGCCTCACAAAATGAATGTTGTATATAGATCCAATACATTCCACCCGCTGTTCTTGGGGAAGTTATTATCGGGGAAACGAGTCAGCAACCATGCTTGCCGGTTATTTGTTGCTCGGAAGTAGTCATAACCTTCCCTTGTGTTGTTTCAAGCCTTGTTCTTTGCTGATTGAAGCCATGATTTGTCATGCAACAGCATCACTGTCTTCATCTCTTCCCCAGACTGAATCCCTTACCTTTCCTCTCATTCCTAGTGTGGAACATGGATGACAGTGGGCCATTTGGTTTGATGATTTCCCTATTAAACATGGTGATGTTCCATAGCTATGTTAGTTTACGGAGGGTAAGCGCATTGGTCAGAACACTGACACTACCTTTTGGGGACCGGGGCACTCAGGTGACGCAGTGGCATCTCTACTGGCCACCAGGGCCGTACAACATCAGGTGGCGGAATTGCAGGCCGGAGCCCCGCAGTGGACAGGGACAGAGGGTGGAAATCACATGAATAGCTGGGGTTTATCGATGCGGTATGCTAGTTAGATAGTTAGATCGATGGATGGATAGATAGATAGATAGATAGATATATATATATCTACTATACTTACATATTTATTTAATATATTCTTTCAACAAACTTATACTTGCATTGCGCCCTGAGCAACGCGTAGATGATGGTTGTTTTTTCTCAACCAACCCCAAAAAGCGAGAAGCCAATCATAGATGCGGGTTTATCCCCTCACAAATATGGTTGGCGGCTGGTAAGCCAGAACCATAGATAGTTATGATTTCCCTGTATGATTTCTCACTAATGACCAATAACGAACGAATAAGTAGATTGTCAATAGCCACTCAGGTTGAACAGGATGGTAAAGACGATTAATAATCACAGACTATAGATCTCATAGGTTTCATAGCGTATAGATGGTTATTCACTATGACACCCTCCCATAAACAGATGATTCCGCATCCACTGGAATACTAATCCCCATAGATGATTGAAAACTAATCCCCGTGGTTAATGACCATAATTGTTGACAAGTACTAGTCATGATTACTAATATCCATGGTCCATGGTTGTTTGAAAATAGATGAAATATGATGACTCTGAAAATCAGTCTCCGTATCCTTTCTGGTAATTTAACATAGCTATGACAAATCACCATGTATACATACATGCATGCATGCATACATACATGCATATATATATATGTATATATATATGTATATGTATATATATATATATGTATATATATATATGTATGTATGTATATATATAGATATGCGTTCTTGAAACGTCAAGCTAAATGGCAATCTATACCATACCAAACTGTTGAATTCTCAGAGAGTAAGCCCGGAATAGATTTCATCCTATGACTATATAGTACCTGTATGCACCTATCATAATTAGGCTGTATATTATCACTATCATGCATCCCATATCATGACTATAGCATACAGATATCCCATTATATAGTAGACCTGCTAGTACTTGACAGAAATCTAGTATCTTATAGTTACCTAGAATTATCCAATAATCATTGTTTAAAATTCAAATCATGTCTCGCCCCTTACTAAGGCTGAGGCAGATTTGGTTCGCAGGCGATGGAGACAGAGATAAATTTAACTATGGCATAATATGGATACCATCATACTATTATATGATATTATATGTATATTTATATATATATATATATGTGTGTTTCTGTTCTATAATACTTTTGATAAATAAGAGGAAGCAAATAACAGATGGCGATGGAGAGAGGCAGCATATAAGGACTGTAAACGAGTATGCGGTATTATACCGTATACAAATCATATCACAATTCTCATTCTTTTATAGTCAGTCACAGTCCTTGCATGTTGTATGTGATTTATCATCAAATGTTTCTTTGCCTTTTTAAGTATATATAGGATATTTTATGGCTCATAGAATATGTAAAATATGTTGGAACATATAATGACTATGACGTATAGTAATTTCTATTAGTAGTTCTATTAGCACTAAACAGTAGTCTATGATCATTTGTTATCACATATCCATTCCAAGAATAGCACAAAAAAGAAATCTCTTTAACGGCATAAACCTTTGGATTGTTTTACTACAATCCCAGGGTCCAATTCTTCAGCCCAGGAGAGGAACCAAGTAGAGCTGGCCTTGATCCGTCGAGAACTGCAGGAGACGCTTGGCTTAAGGCGATGGCAAATCTAGGGAATCATCCCGCAATGACTGGGTGGCTTATTCCGCCATGACTACCCTCTGGTTATGTCAAAATAGCTTTTAAAAATGGCCATTTATCGTTGCTTTTCCCATTAAAAATGGTGATTTTCAATAGTTATGTTAGTTTACCAGAGGGTACTGTCTTGGGTGGTTATTTTTTTCGCCCCTGGTAGTATATACTCATTAAGTTAATCAATCGATTATGCCATGGATTCCATGGATCATCTAGCTTCATTGGGTAAGTTTATTTATATACCATCTATTTTTTTTGATATCATGTGTTGGCTACTGTGTTAGTTTAAAAAAAAGCGGAAAAATAAGCGGAACCTTGACCATCTCTTATTGTGGGGGTCACCTTTCGGGGGCGTTTTTTGTTGGTTGAATCCCCATGAGAATTGGGGCAACATGGAGGAACGGAAATTTCCATGAGTGCCATACTTTGTTGATAGGAAAGCTATCTATGCACATGATACATGTGTATAGGTGGTAGCAGTAGTAGTAGTCGTCGTGGTTGTGGTGGTGGTGGCGGTCGTCGTCGTCGTAGTGGTAGTAGTAGTAGTCCACACGCAATGTAGTGGAATAATGTAGTGTAACGCAGTACAGTGTGTATAAGACGTATGTCATATGTATGTAAAGGGAAAGGGCAAGAAATGGCACGGGTGCATTCAGAGAAAAAGTGTCTATAAATGCACATGTAGATTTATGATGATTGATGTTGATGTTTGTGAATGTATATGGCAATGTGTATGTGCCCTTACTGAGGTACATGATTGGAACAGCATAGCTTCCCAAAGCCAGGTTCTGGCACTGCCATCACACCACCCTGGCAGGTGTCGCCCTGACAGGTGATAGCGGTGACTTCCGATCACCAGGGGACAGCCAGCAGAATTCCAGCAGTCCTCATTATTTTTTTGGTTGGTTAAGCCATTTTTGAAGACAAAAAAAGTTTCTTCTACTCCAAAGGCAATGTAATTTCCAGAACTACGTTAGCCTCAAGCCGTCAACCGAGGCAGCGAGACGAACGATTTCGACTGACGCTTGGCCTCTTTTGTATATGTTGAGGATCCCTTGGGCAGTGTGAACAAAACAAGCAAAGAGTCGGGACAGTTTGGAAAACATTGCGCAAATGGACCTGCAATTTGTGGATTGATGATTTTAAGCCACAGCAAATGGGCCTAAGAGTTGCAGTGTATGAAAGGAAGGGTCCTTTAAGAACCATGTTTCATCATTTCCTACTCAGCTCTTTGACCGCATGGAACCCCTGGTAGAAAAGAATTTACTCTCCGGTAATCCAGTCTGTCAATGGACATTTTATCTAAATTATAGAGGTGATTTGTTGAAATTGTCAGATGAAGAGGGGTGGCCCAGACAGCCAGATTAAGTTTCTCATGCCTGAGTTGGCAAGGAAAAATCAGTTGGGTAGTTGGAATTAGTAGTTTTGTTTTGGCAGCTTCTTAGTCTTTTACTGCTCTTGGTGTTCCCAATATATATGGCTGAATTAGCTGTAGATCTGTAGGCCCTTCAGTACCTGCTGTTTTTGGCTGATTTGTGTTCGCTTTGGTTTGAGATTACCCTCTTGTGAGCTATCATAGATGTGGAGAAATCGCCATTTGTAGATCATGTTCCAAGCAGTTTTCCCCATGGGTTTTCCACATTTTCCTTTTCGTTTTTTCCCAGGGTACAGTCCGGGAATCAAACACTGCAATGGAAAATCCTCCATTTATAGACTATATATATATATATATAATTTATAGTAATGATGTTTTCCCAGCTACAAGCCGCCATTTATATTAGAGGATGTTCGGTTGCCACAGTTGATTACCAAAGGGCAGCCCCTTTTTGACTAGCAAAAAAAATGCTTTGCTACACCGTCCCAGGTTGCCTTTGCCCAAGATGAAAAAGGAGCAGCACCAGAGCTGCACATAGCGCCAGCGCGGGCGGCATCGTTATTTTTGTTCCTCCAAGTTGGCTTATAGTTTATTTATTTACATATATATATATACATATATATATATATACGTATATTAGTTTATATATATATATATAATAAAAATATCGAATTATATATATAATTAAAGATTATTATATTTATATATTAAATATTATTATATATATTATATATTATTATAAATATATATATATATATTATATAATATTATATATTGTATATATATTATATGTATTTTATTGTATATTAATTGTCATTTATTATATATTATATATTATTTATTATATACTGTATATTTTTTTATTTTATATTATATATTATATATTATATATTAGATATAATATATTATATATACCATAATAATTTGTTATAGCTATATAGCCCTATACGGCGACTGTAGATATTAATATAAATGTACATATATGTACCATAAATCCCACTGACACTCTTAAACCAACTTAGCTAACTATTGGGTACCTCCTCCCAACTCGATGTTCACAACCTATTGAATCACCATGCCAATAATTGATTGGTATATTCGTATTGTACTGCATTTGTATCCCCATGAAACGTGCATTCTTACAGTTGGTGAACCCTTATGTTCATCATTCAATCCCCACTTATTCACCGTCAATCGCCAATCAGATAATCAATCATGAATTTTCCCATGAAAGCTCTGTATTTTTTCATGGTGACATCATGATGAACCCCAGTTTCCCCAGTTTGAATCCCCATTGAATCCCCTATAAAAAAATCCTATGGTCGATAGTCCCCAGTTTCGATCCCCAGTTTCTGACGGGTGAAATCTGATTATATATATATATATATTCAATCGATGTGCATATATATATATATATACATACGTCTAATTGGGTCTAACATGGTAAAACTATATATCCCTAGTTTCACAAAAATTGCTTTCTGAATTTACTGACTGGTGAAATCCCCAGTCACCGTGGTCACGGCCTTGAGACTGGCCAGGTCCGGCAGTCGGCCTCGTCGCTCTGCCTCCGCCAAGTCCGAAAGCGCTGTGCCCTCGGCGCCGTCGAGTCCCACGTTGTCGGTGCCCAAGCCGTCCCTGGGCGACATAGGATTTGATGGGATTTCCTGGGGTTCATATAATCTCTCAATGGGAAGCCTTATTGTTATTTGACATGGGATGCCAATGGCATATACAGTATATTATATATATATATATTCTGTATGAACATATATATATATATATAATGCCAATATATATATAATATATATATTTATTTATATATTTATGGATTTGCATATGCATAGTGGGAATGTATACATGTATAAATATATATATATATACGATATGTATATATATATATGTATATACATGCTTGACAGTAGGGATGTAATTGGGATATAATGGGATTATCATTGGAATACTAGTGAAATAAAGTTGATACAACCAACGACAAAAGGCCGTTATTTGGATGAATTCTGCGACCTCACTGTGACGTCACGGGAATGATGGTTAGTAAGTGGAATCATTAATGAATCATTGGACTCATCGCCAAATAGCCTTATTTAAAGCTATTTTCAGTTTGATGAATAACCCAGCCAGGGGTTTCTAGGCCCTAGGCGTTTTTAGATGCCAGAACCACCGAAATTTCCTGTCGATTTTCCCTCAAAAATCAACCCGTTGATTGTTTTTTGCCGTGCGTGTCATCAGTGTCCCCAGATTTTGATTCTTGTAGATGCTTGGATTCTTGATTGGTTATAAGTTACATCAATATCCAGGCATATATCCCCCTATTTTGATAGTTGAACCCCATATTTTTGAAAAAAACAACACCGACCCAACCTCTTGAAGTCATGGAAATACACCTGTGGTGTCCCATGGTGTTTGCCAGGCTGCAGGCTGCAGCCGTTGAACAGACCGAAGCCATGCCGCTTGGTGCACATCAATGGGATTTCCTGAGCAATTTGCAACAAAGTGTGAAACAGGCCATAACTCTAGGGAATCAATGATGGGAAATTAAGCATCAATATGAGGATATTATATAGGGATTATAATGGACGTCAGTTTTAGCCATGATTGTTGTCATGGGGATTCTTTGAGACTGTAATTGTGGAGACTTCTTGTAATGGTGGTATGTCGGCCACCAACTTTTCAAGGATTTAACCCAAAGTGAATAGCTTTTTTTCCCCACCTGCCAGGTGTGGGTTGTTAGATTCTATCAGAGTTGTTCTCCTCCTCGGCTAGCTGTCCTCCTCCTCGTCCTCCTCCTCCTCTTCCTCCTCCTCCTCGTCCTCCGCCTTCTCCTCCTCCTCTGCCTCCTCCTCCAGTTCCTCCTCGGCCATGTCTGCATCAACTTCCACCTCAACTTCCGCCTTGCCAACTCTTCGCCAAGCTCTTTGCCGACTTCCCAGCTCAGTGTGCACCGCTGGACCTCAACCGGGGACCTTCCCAGCTCAGTGTGCACCGCTGGACCTCATACTTACATTACATTACATTACATTACGTTACATCACATCACGTTACATTACATTAGTACACACATACATACATACATACATACATACGTGCATACGTACATACGTACGTACGTACATACATGCATACATAGATAGATAGATAGATACATACATACATACATACATACATTCACATGTGTAATGTAATGTAATTTGTTTTTTGAACTATCCAGTAGCGAAAGGAGGGAGCTGTTGGGAACTATGGCTCTATCCATAGTTCGTCATGAATTGGGAGCTACGGATTGAATTTCCCAACATTTTGCCTGGAAACTAAATGAACCACATGTGGATTTAGCCAGCATTTGATGAAGAAATGGATGGTGTGTGTGCGTTGTGGCGACAGAAGTGTGAATTAAACATGGGGGTTGGACGTGGAATTACCAGATGTTCAGTAGGGAGAGACATGAAGTGCAGATGTTTCATGTAGCCACAGCCAACCCCGGTTGATCAGGCCAGCTTACTCTTATTGCGGTTGCTTAGTGTAAGGAAACTGACTCAACTGACTAATGGTTTCAAGCACTTTGTATGTCCATATGTGGGATGATGATCCCAGTTGACCATAATAATAATAATAATAATAATAATAATATATATTATATATATAATTATATATATATATATATTCGCGAGCGTGTCACAAAAGAACCAGCCAACCAGATGCTTTAAAGTTTTGGGAGTGGGGAATGGTTTTTGTACTGCTACAGTTGGCAAACACATTACCCCAGCTGGCTCATTGGCTCGAACGATGGTTGAAATGCGTTGGTGTCGCAACAGTTCGTCCAGGTTGACATGATGTGCTTGGATGATCCGGGTCATAAACCCAGAACATATGCCACTATGGAGCCTCATTGTCATGGGGTTTTGCCCATGGAGGTATGTAAGACATTTGAAGAATGCGATGTAGTCAAATCAGTGGAACATCGAGCCCCGCAATCATGAGTACTTGTTGGGTTTTTTTTTGCGCGCATGCTGTCCCATTACCACTCACTTTGCTATATATACTTGGATATATTATAATAACGGCCCCACAGCGACTGGAATGATTGCTGGTAGGGGGAACTATCCCAAATGACCCTAGTTCAGCGTGGTGAAAACACACACTCACATGCATGTGTATAGAAATAAATAAGTAAATGGACATCGCCAATTTCACACATGATTGATGTTCAATTCAAATGCCCATATACTTCCGGGATTTCCCAGCCAGCCATGTTTCATTTGGGGAGGCTCGGAGGGTATCCCCCAAATTTGGACAAAGCCCGAGAACCATATTTTTGGTTATATGACATATCCCACATGTGTGGATGAATTAGGTGTAAAAAAATGTGTTTTCCATAGCAAACAATTGTATATATTAGTGCACATATATATATAATATAAATATATATATATATCCTCATGATATCCCCATTGAATGATTATATAAAATTATTGGCTTAACATCTAATTTTTATCGGCTTTAACTAATATGTTTTGTATACAGACCTACCACGTTCGTAAATCTCCTCACAACTTGCCAGAACGATACACGCTCCTTTGCCCTATATGCGTATTCTGTACCTTGGCCGCCTTGGTCCGGAGCAGGTGACTATTGAATTTCGCTACCGGGATAGCAAATTACTTTAGAGAGCAATGTGCTTAAAATGTGCTATTGTTTTTTTTGCTAACCAAGATATTACTTGGCAGGATATGCAAGATTGACCATGTTGCAGCGATCATGGAAGGCTTCACATCAGAAATGACGATGCATCGGAGAAGTTCATTGGTCCGGGTACCATGTCAACATTCAACAAGTATTTAGCGATGGTGCTGCTGGTTTCCCCTGGATGTGTCAAGTCAAGGTTCTTTTCTAGTTTTTTACCACCGTTTGTTGGGAACCTTTCATTAATCAATCAGGGATTCTAATGTGGGGTTGACATTTTGCTGATGTCAGTGCACCAAATCTCAGCCTGGCCGAGTAATTTTGGAGGTGACTGGTTGGTGAAATGGCTTTTGAATTTGTAACGTTGATGGAGGAATATGTTATATATGCATTTCCCACTGAAGGAAATTATTGTAGTGTGGTTCGGAATACTCACAATAGAATCGGGAAATTGCAGCAGCCTCAAACCATTGTATCACATGCCATGCCTCAACACTAGGAAAAAACACCACTGCCACATGTTTTAATTTAATTCTTTGCAGTTTTTGACCAGACCAGAGCCTTACGCTGCAGTATCACAAGGCTTCATGTTGGGGTGATGTGCAGTTTTCCTATGCAGGTGTGACATCCTGGGCCAGCGCCCGGGTTGGGGTTGGTTGGGGGGTGGTTTGGGGCAACGTCCTGGCACTTGCACGCCTACTTGATGCTGCGTCACGAAAAGTTCTTTTCAACCTCACGCTATGTTGTTATATATATGTATATAATCATACGTATTTAAACTTTATATATATATATATTTATATTAATCGTTTTACTTGATACTATGTTATAAGAACTTCTTGAGTTGATGCTACGTCATAAGAGCAAGTGGTCAGAGTTGAGGATCAGGTGGACAGTTGGCAAATAAGGACACCTTTCCGGGTTGCCACAACCGCCTTGGTCTTAGGCACTGGATGGATGTTTTTTATTCATGGTGGTTCAAGATATCAAGAGGAATAATTGATAACGTGCGGTTGCATCTATCTAGCTATTCATCTACCAATTTGAGTCGTTTGTCGATTTAAAGGTATATATGCATAAATAATCATAAATATGTATTCCCCCCTGTCCATATACACAAAAACATAAACGTGTGATATCATGTATCAGCAAACACCAACGTACATACAATAAAGTGTCACTTGATATTGTGTTTTGCTATGCGCATAGATTGACAACATAGATATATCAATCTATGTATATATATAAATATGTACGTATATATATATATCTATATATATATATATATATTCCTTATCAGCATGCGAATGCAAATGCATGCATGACCATTAGCATACACAAACATGTTTGTCAACATCACACAAAAAACTTAGTGGATTGATTTAAATCTCAATGTCTTATGATGATGATTATATATTATTAGATATGCGTTTGTTAATGCATGGTCTGTCAGGATGTGTTACAGTAAACATGTTTTTTCATCTATGATCATCCTGAAGTAGATAGAACTGGGAGTTTCAACATATATATAAATATAAACATATATACATATATATTATATATATATATATATATATATCATAGTCTCAATTTTAGTGTGTGTGTGTGTGTGGTTTCTTGAAACTGCCATATCCTACTACAGGATAACTATATAGATATGGATATCCTGCGTTGAAGGTCGTTGAAGTACAAACCTAGGTTTGATGAGTCGATGACTTTCATTTTTCGATAGGTAAATCCTCCAAAAAAGGAATGAATCTATATGTTTTCGTTTGGGGTTGTTTGACCATAAGCAAATATCCAGATCAATTTAAATTCATATCAACTTGGCCAATTATTAATTGACTTATTCAATTTTCATTTACTTCTCGGGTTTTTGAAACTATATTCACTACTGTTGATATCCTGTGTTTATCAACGGATTTCTTTTGAGGGGAAGTCTGCAGGAAATAAACCAGATTTTTTCCAGTGGAATATGGGGGGATCCGTTTTGGGTTCCTGTGTAAATTTTCCCCCAAGCCAGTTCATATCCACTTGGTTGATTATTAATTTAATCAACTTTTTATGATTCTCATTTCCCTATTGCTAAGTATATTAAATATTGTTAAATACCAAACAACTATTACTATTATATACTAGTACTATAGCTATATTGAACATCAAGATAGTGAATAAATTGATCACTATCTTGATCTCCTGCAGGTCACCCCACAGGAATCATGACATCCTCAGGAAACCGCCTGTGAAGCCCGAGCTCTCAGAGTCCGCGTTGATTCGAAGCACGTCGTAGAGACGGCGGAATCTGCGACAGCTCCCTGCATTTGTGATTTTTTTGGGCATTTGTTTGTCTTTTTTTCGATGGATTTAATAGAAAATACTGGGAAAATCCGCTATCAATAGATCTTCATGGGAAAAATAATCTATGAACAGGTGATTTATAGATAGTTTTTTGGGGATTCATATAGGGATTTGATTGGGACTTTCGTGGAGACTTAATGGAATTTCATATAGGAAATCCATGGAAATACCCTTTAAATTGAGGTTTATAGCTGCTATAGCTGGCAAAACAATCTATGAATAGGGGATTTTGCAGCCAGCCATGTTTGATTACCAGAGTGTAAATGGATTGAATGGTATTCTTACACAAGGATTTGAGGGGACATGTGGGGACTTTTGGCGACGAAAATATTCCAAACAATTCACCTTGAAAACAAGGATACAGTAATATTTACATTGGTTGGTGGTTTGGAACAATTTTTATGTTTCCATAATACATTGGGAATAATCATCCCAACTGACTAATATTTTTCAGAGGGGTTGAAACCACTAACCAGTACAGTATTATTGCAGTAATTTTGCCATTGTTAAATCGACATCCAGTTAAAACAAGGATTTAACAAGTCGCATATTCGTGGGGTATGGGGTCAGTAACCACCACGAGTTGCCTGTAGGGCACCTGACCAACTATGCTTCGACATGTGAATTTTGTTCATTGGAACTGCACCGTTTCATTCTGGTGGCCGGAAAGTCCCACAAAAAAATAATTGTTGATTGCTTGTGTTCGTTTATGTTCATATGTTCGACGCTGGGCCTTGTTGGGGTTATCATCCAACGATCGTGGGTTTAAAATGGCTGACTGAAATAAAATGTAATGCCTCAAACATTACGGGTTTTGGACGGTTTGGGACCGGGATGGGTAGTTTAACATGGAACCCAAAGTTGTGGGATGTCCCGTATTTTACAAAATGAAGATATTTTTCGGAGACCATTCTTCAAGTTCCATGTTTGATTTAGGGAAATCTGCAACAAAAGACATTGTAGTAGGTATTATGTAGTCTTTGGTTTTGCCGTTGGAAACTGTTTTGCCTTTTTTGTGAAGTTGCACATATGGGGATTTAATTTTACGGGTGATGGGATATAATAGGCTATAATAGGCTTACCTGCAGGCTTATAGATGTCTACTCCTCGCGTGTTTTCTGTTGGGGCCTGGAATGTATAGATTTATTGAACATGTCTATGTAGATATCCAAAGAAAATGTAGATGTGCATCTGGAGGTGCGCAGCTAATACCAATGGCGTAACTATACATATATGATCATATATGTACTTACTCTCATGATTTCTGGTATTGCAAGCAATAACAGAAGGCATTTTGGGGGGCCCAGCCCCATGACGAAGGGCAAATACTGCTTCCCAAATGTTTCACCGCTGAAAAAAATAGCTCCCGGTAAAGTTGAAGTCTGCAAATATAGACATACATACATATATATACAGTATATATTCTATATATATATATCCTATATATATATATCCTATATATATATATATCATATATATATACACATCACACGCTTTGGTAATCAAACATGACTAGCTGGACAATCCATCAAAAAACATGGGAATCAACATGGACCTCCATTGGGTTGTGACCCGAAGGCGCCAAGCCAGTGATGGTAGAGTTGGGTCCATAACTGTTTGTGAAAGATGCATGGAAGTGGCTAAGATGTGCATTCCTTTCCCACCGATAATGTATATAGTATATATATATATATCTAATATATGTATATATATATGTATAGATGTCTCGTTTCCTCCCACTTCCTTGTACTTAATTCAAGTAAGGCCACTCGGGTTCAGACAACTTATCCCTCAAGTGTCGCTTCGGGGGCCCAGATCTTAGCGCTATGGAACAGCGAAGCTGTTGCACAAGATATGGTTGATACCAAGCTTGATTCGATGAGCAGAGCCACACATGCATAGATCCATGTTGGCATTTTTGTTTTGAAAGCGATATTCAGTACAGAGGGTGCTACATGTCAGCAGCAGTATTCCCATAGCTGTACATAGATCCATTAGGATAATTAATGACACACACATATATATATATATATAATGCACATAATTGCATATTTACGTAGGTGAATTTCCTCATGGACAAGTACATGCATACATGCATGCATGCATGCATGCATAAATACATACATACACACATACATATATACATACATACATACATACATACATACATATATATATATACACATACACACATACACACATACATACATAGATTACATTGCATTGCATTCCATTGCATTACATTACATTACATACATTACATACATTACATACATACACTACATGCACTACATACACTACATACACTACATACATTACATACATTACATACATTACATACATTACATACGTGCATACATTACATACATTACATACATTACATACATTACATACATTACATACATTACATACATTACATACATTACATACATTGCATACATTGCATACATTGCATACATTACATACAAACAATACATACAATACAGACAATACATACAATACATACAATACATACAACACATACATTACATACATTTCATACATTACATACATTTCATACATTACATACATTACATACATTATATACATTACATTACATTGCATTACGTTACGTTGCATTACATTGCATTACATTACATACATACATACATACGTACATACATACATACATACATACATATATACATGTGCTTTACATCTGCATATGGAGACCTATACGGTTTTATGTGTGTACTCTGACGTTTTGATCTTCTATAGACATATGCATACAGCTGCACTACAAACAGATACATATTGTCATTCATCATCGCCACCATCATCATGATTTTCATCATCATCATCACCATACTACAAGAAACATATCATAGTGACTGTTGTTTAGGAACCGTGTGCGGAAGGGATATTATTGCCCACAATTGAAAGCATAAGCGAAAAAAAAAAACTATGATTCATAAATTCCACTTGCCTGATTGCTTCAAGATGCAGGGCCAGTCTACTATCAAATCTATCAACTATTTTTTAAAGCTAATGTCGCAGATCCATCAACGGTTGATATTTCACGTCAGGTCACACCCAAACGTCACACGTTTCCACCTCAATGATCCCGAGGAAAAAACACGTCCCCCGACGTGTAGGGGAAGATGGATGAAGACTACGGATTTGTGGTATATATATATATAGACTGGGACGTCTTGTAAGAAGATTTTTATCTGCTTATGACACCTCAAAATCAGGGATTTTCCTCAAATAAGACCCTACCAAAAATGACCTGCCCCAAAAGTGACCCAGTAATCAGCAGATTCCAGGAATTTGTAGTTTTATTGGGAAAAGTGGTGGAATTGTGAAGCTGCTTCTTACAGGTCACTCCCAAAAGGTAGATTGTTCTTTTCTTCTATATATATATATGTGTGTATATATATATGTGTATATATTTATAAATATATATGGTAAAAAAAAACAATTCTAAACCAATGCTTCTGGGGATGTGTTTAATGCTAGGGGGTGTTCGGGGGAAGGGACTGTACAATATATAGGTGGTTCCAGGGCGTAGCCCAATAAATTCCAGGGTGTAGCCCAATAAATTCCAGGGCGTGGCCCAATAAATTCCAGCACAGTAACAATTACCTCAGTAGAGAATTAGACAGTAATAAGCAGATTTTGGATCTTGGGGTATAAATGCATTTTGGACTGTAATAAGCAGATAAACCTCACGAGTGGTGAGGGTTTTGAGCAATCTGCTTGTCTGCTGGCAGTGGCATAAATCTGCTTCTTGGGTGTCCGCGACTATATATATATATATATAAATATATATTTATATAATTATATAATTATATATAGTAGTTCGATATATCGTTAGAGAGGGGCTACTGTTGCACTATATTATGATACATATTGATACATTGGAATCTAAATGAATCTAAGCTTATAGAATTTACATTTGCTCACGCATATACATATGTTATATATATATATATACATAATATGCGTGTATGTATGTTTTTGAAGTATACAGTATATAATATGAGTTCACCACACGTCCGGTTCAGAGGCACTGTTCAATTGAGACTCGAGGCTTGGATTCACAAACAAATCAGTCCGATTGGATGTTTTTGCTGGCGTTTTGGTGTGAAAGCTCGACAGCGGGCCTCAAAAAAGAGAGGCTCCTGGATGTTGTTTGATTGTGAATTTCTTAGGTAATATATATATATATGTAAATATGTTGCATCTAAGAGCCTGAAAGAGGCTTGCTTGTGTGGACAGGAAATGACTATATAATTGTAACTGGGGTCGAATTCTTGCTCCCAGTTACAGTAGACACAATAAATTGGATGCAAGCCATGATCTATCTAAGAATCTAACGAAGCAAGATAACACACAAAAAATATATATAGGTGAACAAAGAATAACAACTGCCAATCGTCTCTCACCCAGCCTGCACCTTCTGGCAATTTTCTGCACAGCGGCCGAATGGCACAAATGTGCTGAGTTTTCTTGTGCCACCGACAGGAAGTTGGGAGTTCCGCTGTTGGATCAATGGAAAAATCACATGACAACTCTAGAGTTGCTTGGAAATACCATGGTTTCCGGGAAGGTCTTGCCTTAAACTTAAATCCATTGACATGTTGAAATTTGAGACTGAGTTGAAGCCTGGAGAGTCCACAGCCAATCACTGACACTACATATACGGTGATTTAACCAACAAAGTATGGCAATTAACCATGAATATATGGCAGTATACTGGGGATATGGATGCACAGTAAGTCATGAAGTTCCCCAAACAGTGTGTCCACACTGAGGGGCTCTTACGGTAGATGTAAAGGCCGGTGCTTGATCCGGGTGCTCACCTTGGGCCGCGGCATTTTTCCTGTAAATTTCCGTGCAAAAAATTGCTCTTGTGAATTGTTGACATGCATTTTGACTGCGCAGGCTCGCACAAAAGTGTGCGCCTAGGTTCTGGGCCGCGGCATTTTCCCTGTAAATTTTGGTCTAAAGTGGCTCTTGTCA